ATATAAGCTTTAGTCTTAGTGAAAATAACATTTTAGAACTTTGAGCCAATGAATTCGATTTGGTTCATTGTAGTAATTAGTTCGTACTTCACGTTTTACTTTACGGTCAACTTAAAAATCTTGTTTTTCCGAGTAGTTTTCCATATATATAGACGGATGTTATCTTAATTGAATGCATAGTTTATCGACACTTTTTTAAATTTTAGAAAGGTTATTAGAAATGAAAAAAAATTGCCAGCTGCAAAAACAAGTATTGTCTTTTTTTTTCTTTTTCATGAGCTCAGATAGACAACCCTTTTATTTTGCCTTTGTTGTTGTCTCTATCCTTATCTAATGGCTCTTTGTTTTAGATCACTTGTTATAACCAAACAATACTGGTGCATCAGTGTAGAGTTTCATGAAGTTGAGTATCAAAGTGCAGTTGAGCTGATTAATGAGTGCAAAGTGATTGCCTTTTTTCTGTAAATCACACATGCAGTGTTTCCCAAGAGAAACTGTAACGTTCAAAAAACTGCATCGCGATACTGAAAGTTTTTTGTTTTTTTTTTTGTTTTGATCGATGTAAGTTATCATTCATTTGTAACCTTTAGATTCCAATTTGTTTGGGAGGGAAAACACCAGAGATCGAAGAAAAATTGTGGTAATTAAGTGTATTCATTATTGAAAATAAATCATTATTCAATAAAAGTATGATCGAAGGAGGAAACTGTGAACCTCTTTCAGAATGTGCAGACTTTTAGTGTAACTAACTATAAACGACAAATTTGTACAGTTTGTTGGGAATTTTCCGGGGTAGCGGTGAAGTTTAAATAATGACTCAGATGTCGCTGATCACATTACATAGCCGATTTATAATTAATTGGGCAATTTTTGCAATTTGCCCAAGTCTCAGGAAGGAAAAGTGCAAACCATTCTCCCAACAACACTATATTAGATTATAAGCATTAAGGACCCAAACAACATGAAAGGGTTAATCACAAGTTTTTCCTTCTGACTGATTCGGATAAATGAGATTAAAAAATTACGCACTTTCTTCTTAACTGTGTGGATGACCCCCCGAGTCTAATGATTAAACGTCTTGTCACGTGTTTGTTTTCTGATTAATAGAAGCTACAAGGGCTCTCAAAACTGGTTCAAATAAAATATTTTAACTATCAGTGACTGTAACAGTATACTGAGCGTACTTGTTCCCTGTGTTTAAGGGTATTTATTGCCATCTGTGGTTAAAGAGGAAAGATCAGTTCAATAATATTTTTTAAAAACCTTCAAAAAGTTTCCAATAACACAATTCACTCAACACATCTCAAAACAAGAATCGGAAGTTGCAACTAGTTCAGTTTGAGTTCAGTTCTGACTAAACTCCTTAAAGCTGCAGTTAATCGTTCAAAACAATGAAAATGATTTCATCTCTCTTCTTTTCCCCTGGTGAAGAAGATTTTCAATGATACCTCGCGATAAAAACGACTTCTTTATCGAACCTCTTTCCATCATTATCTAAAACTCTCTTCAAAGTTATGGTTTCCTCCAGCCATTTCTCTTCGGTAGCAAACCCTTCAAAGCTCGAAACGTAAGAAAAATGCTCGGCCACACCTTGAATGAACAAGCCACCTTCGCTTGGAGCTAGACGCCGGTTTCAATTTTCCGCGTGAAGATGCGGCAATAAGACAAACTCTCCGACGCCCAATTCTCCGTCTTTTACGAGTTTAAGGCCAACGAAGATAAATTCATTTTTTTTCTTCGTCAGGTAAAGATTTTCTTATCTCTCCACTGCAAGCACTTCTTTATCGCATCTCTTTCCCTTATTTCTAAACCTCTTTACAAAGGCAAAATTTTGCAACCTTTTCTCTTCGGTTGAAAACCCTTGGAAGCTTGACAAATATTGAAACTGCTCGGCCATATCTTGAGTCACTAGTAAGCCAGCCTGGCTTGGAGCTGGCGGCCGGTTTCTAGCGATATACGGCAAACTCACCGACACCTTACTCTCCTTTCTCCCCAAATTCCATTGGCATTTTAGGCGTACAGGTCGATTCGATCAGTTTTTCTGGCCCATTAATCCCCTTAAAATAGTGACCAGTGATCCACTCACCATTACTGAGCACCTTCCAGAAGTTCAATCTTTCCTTACGCGCAGAAATCCACGTCACATGTTCATTCTGACGATACTCGTAGTCTTTCGTGAAGTTCATGACCAAAAACCTTAACCACCTTTCCCTCGTTTCGAAATGTTTCTTACCTCTTGGTTTCTTCTTCATCCACTGAATTCTTATACAAATACTCTCATTCTGAATAACCTTCTCTCAGGCAATGTAATGCTCGACCCCTCCCACCGTCTACCTATGAATTTTCGGACTTAACAAATCCGTTAGAGGTTTACAACAGTCAGGTTATGTTTACAAGCTCATGATGGCCTGTTTTCCTTTTTAATTGAAAAGTAGCAAGGTGAACAGAAAATTTCTTCGAGCGGAGTTTGACTTAAAACATTCATTTTCTCTGGCAAAAGTATATTTTCGTGTCTGAGTCTTGCAACCATATAATTAGGGGCTGTTACGGGTTAAGCTTTTCTTAGAACTAACCTCTCCACAGACATCTGTAAACAATTCTTAGAACCCAGACATTTACATCCCGCATAACCTGCCTTGATTGGTTGCTATCACTAACGTAAATATGATAATTTATATCAAAAAGTTTCGCATAAGTGACTTTTTTCAACTCGAAATCTCTGCGTCAGTTTGTTGTACTCAATCATGGATGTCAAAACCTTGCTTGACAATCTTAAGGATGAAGTATCCTGTTCTGTGTGTATGACAACATTTACTGAACCAAAGACTCTGCCATGTTTGTACAGCTTCTGTCTACATTGTTTAAACGGGATCTTACGAACAAGTGGGCGCCATCATGCATTTCTCTGTCCTGAATGCCGAAGAGAAGTCCAAGTCCCCAGCAGTGGAAACCTCAAGGATCTTCCGACAAACTTTTGTATCAACAGTTTGCTAGATGTGCTGGCCATTAAAGAATCCCATACCACAGGAGTGAAATGTGGAAACTGCGACAAAAGTAGCAGACACAGTTCTTACTGTTTTCAGTGCTGTGCTTTCTGGTGTGACGAGTGCATCACTGCGCATAACATGATCAAAGCGAATAAAGAGCATCGAGTTCTCGCTCTAAAGGATTTTGAGGATCAAGACATCGAGGATGTATTTAAGCGGCCAGCATTTTGCCAACAGAAGCATCACGAAAAAGAAGAACTCAAGTTCTTTTGCAAGAACTGTGATGTTGCCATTTGCAATTCGTGTGTTGCAACCATCCATGATGGTCACGTTAAGATTCTTCTAGAAGAAGCAGCGAGTGAACGCAAGTTACAAGTCGAGTCTTTGATCGAGTCGCAAAAAGAGAAAATTGAACAGATGAAATACAAAATTGCTGTCCTTGAGAGACAGTGTAACCATATTGAAGCGCGAACCGACGAAGTGAAACGAGACATCAACAGATTTGCTGAAAATATGACTGCAGCCATTGAAACAAAGAGGAAGGAAATGTTAAACAAAGTTGAAACCCAACGGAAGGAATCCCTTCGATGCGTACAAACTCATCAATGCGAGGTAACGCGTCAAGTTACATTGGTGGAAACAGCAGTCGAAAAAACTGTAACACTTTTAAAACGATGTACAAGCGCCGAGATTATCCAGTTGGATAAGTCACTGAACACAGTCTTTCCGGAAGAGGTCAGCGATGATGGAAAACAAGCCGCATCTGACATCGAAGGTCTTCGTCATTTCCGTTTCACAGAAAACAAAACCTTACTTGATAGTTTAAACTCTGACAGCATCGGCTCATTTGTTACCTTTGTGACTAAAACTATCGCTCATCAGTCAACTGCCGAAGGAAAAGGAATCACTGAAGCGATTGTTGGACTTCAATCAAACTTTTTATTAACAACAAGAAATACAGAGGGAGAACAATTGTACCATGAGCGTGACTGTGTAATGGTGGAAATCAAAACTCAGGAAGGCGATGACTGTGCCACGGAAGTGCGAGTCCAAGATAACAAAGATGGTAGCTACAAAATCAGATATTTCCTCAAAGATACAGGAAAATGTCAACTATCAGTGAAAGCAAATGGAGAACATATTCGTGGCAGTCCATTTAATGTTGAGGCGAAACCCAGACAGTTTAGACCCTTGTTATCTTTTCGACAAATGGATTTGTCAGTTGCCGGAACGCTTAACGACCCATATGGAGTGGCAGTGTATGAACGAGATGAAATTTTAGTGACTGACACTTCTAACAGCAGGGTTCAGGTATTTAGTAGTGATGGAACTTACTTAAGATCTTTTGGTAGGAAGGGTGATAAACAAGGAGAGTTTGATTTCCCTACTGGCATAGCGTATGGTAAGAATAAGAACATAATTGTTGTGGACACTGATAACCACCGCGTTCAATTTTTCAATGATCAAGGTGAGTACCTGAACCAGTTTGGTGGTAAAGGAAATCTTGATCACCAGCTGAGTAGTGCTTTTGGTTTATCTGTTGACGGGAATGGAAATATCATTGTTGCCGATAAGGGCAACAAATGTATAAAAACTTTTTCATCCGATGGCCAGTTTTTGTATAAACTTGGTGAAGGTGAAGCTTTTACTGCTCCTCGTCACTGTATTCAATATAACAAACATCTTATAGAGTCAGACAGTGGTGAACATTGTATCAAAGTGTTTGATATAAATGGTGATTTTTTGTACAAATATGGAAATAAGGGAAACGGGGATGGGCAGTTCAATGAACCTCGTTTTTTTTTAGTTGACAAGGCAGGACACCTGATGGTCTGTGATAGAGACAATCACAGAGTTCAGGTATTTGAACTGAGTGGTAAATTTGTAACAAAGTTTGGAAAGAGAGGTAATGGGCCAGGAGAGTTCTGCGGTCCAACATCTACTGCAGTTCTTAGTGATGGCAGGATAGTTGTGGCTGATTGGTTTAACGATCGTATTCAGATACTTGGGTAAATGTTGATAAATGCAACTTCTGTTACATTCAAACTTTGAAGTAATTCTGATAAATGCTGCATCACAACACCTAGATTTTCTTTTCTTTCTGGTTTCAATTAGTGTATCCGTATCGCCCATTTGTAATCTCAAGCTTCTAGTTTCTTAGGGAGGGCAAACACCACAGATCAAAGACAAACTCTTGTGATACTGCTTTAGATTCTAGTTTGTTAGGGAGGGCAAACAATAGAGATTGAAGAAAATTTGTTGTGATAGTGTATTCACTATTGAAAGAGAAGCATCAATCAATAAACTGAGTTTGATCGAGTGAGGAAAGTAAGAGTCTGTTTCAGAGTGTTCAGCTTTCTAGTGTTATTTACATAACAACAGGGTTGTGCAGCTCAGTTAAATTCAATTCGGGAAAAGGAAGTTCAGTTCCGTTCGGCTAAAATCCGGCTCGTGAGGGAAACCTCCAAACCATATCCCTTACAACAATGTATAGATGATAAGCTTTTAGGATCACACCTTTTTTCCCCTGACTGATTCTTATGAATGAGAGTGAAAAAACTCCACTTTTTCTTAACTCTCTGGACAGCCGCTTACCACGTGTTTGTTTTATCACTAGTGGGTGCAAGGGCTCTTAAAGCTGTAAAAATATTCTAACTATCAATGACTCGAACAGTATACTTGCTCCCTGTGTTTAAGGTGATCTATTTCCCTTTGTGTTCAAAGAGGAAGGATCAGTTCAATAATATTTTTGAAAACTTTCAAAATATTTCCAATAACACAAGTCACTCAACACATCTCAAAACAACATGCAATCGAAAGTTGCGAGTTCAGTTTGAGTTCAATTCTGAACCGACTAAACTCCTACAGCCTCGCTTAATCGTTCGCAACAACGAAAGTGATTTTGTTTCTCTTCTTCCCCAAGTGAAGAAGATTTTCATACCTCGCAGTGAAAACCACTTCTTCATCGTACCTCTTTCCCTCATTATCTAAAGCTCTCTTCAAAGTCAAGATTTCCTCCAGCCACTTCTCTTCGTTAGCAAACCCTTCAAAGCTCGATACGTAAGCAAAATGCTCGGCCATATCTTGAATAAAGAAGCCACCTTCGCTTAGAGCTGGAGGCCGGTTTGAATTTTCATAGGGAAGATGCAGCTGTTTCCCTTTTTAATTGAAAAGTATTAGCAGCAGCGTGAACAGAAAATGTCTTCTTGTGGAATTTTACATTAAACATTTTTATTTTCTTCAGTAAAAGTATATTTTCGCGTCTGAGTTTTGCAGTCATTTAATAACTTGGAGGCTGTTACGGGTGAAGCATTTCTTAGAACTAACCTCTCTTAGAGCCCAGAAATCTACATCCTGTATAACCTGCCTTAATTGATTGCTATCATTAACGTGATAATTATGATAATTGATATATAAAAAGTTCCACATCAGTTTCTTGTACTCGATCATGGATATCAAAACCTTGGTTGACAATCTTCATGATGAAGTATCCTGTTCTGTGTGTAGGACTTCATTTACTGAACCAAAGATTCTGCCATGCTTGCACAAACAGGATCTTACGAACGAGTGGCCGTCATGATGCATTTCTCTGTCCTGAATGCCGAAGAGAAGCTCAAGTCCCTAGGAGTGGACACCTCAAGGATCTGCCCACAAACTTTCGTATCAACAGTTTGCTAGCTATGTGCTGGCCATCAAAGAGTTCCATACTACTGGAGTGAAATATGGAAACTGCGACAAAAGTAGCAGACACAGTTCGTAGTGTTTTCAGTGCTGTGCGTTCTGGTGTGATGAGTCTATCATCGAGCATAACTTGATCGAAGCGAATAAAGGGCATCGAATTCTTGCTCTGAAGGATTTTAAAGATCAAGACATCGAGGATGTATTGAAGCGGCCAGCATTTTGCCAACAGAAGCATCACGAAAAAGAAGAACCCAAGTTCTTTTGCAAAACTTGTGATGTTCTCATTTGTAATTCTTGTGCTGCAACCATCCATGATGGTCACGCAAAGATTCTTTTAGAACTGAAGAAGCGGCGACTGAACGCAAGTTACAATTCAAGTCTTTGATCGAGTCGCAAAAGGAGAAAACTGAACAGAAGAAGAACGAAATCGTCGCAATTGAAAGACTTTGTAACCAAACTGAAGTGCGAGCCGATGCACAATTTTAGTGAAAACATGATCGCAGCCATTGAAGCAAAAACGAAGGAAATATTAAACAAGGTCGAACTACAACAAAAAGAGTCCCTTGAATGTGTGAGAACTCAACAATGCAAGGTAAAGTGTCAAGTCAAACTGCTGAAAACAGCTGTCGAAAAACTGAAACAATATTCAAACATAGTACAAACGCCGAGATTACACAGTTGGATAAGTCACCGAACACGGTCTTACCGGAAGAAGGCAGCGATGATGGAAAACAAGCCGTATCTGACCTTTAAGGTCTTGGTCAATTGCGTTTCACAGAAAACAAAACATTCTGACAGCATCGGCTAATTTGTAACCTTTGAGACTGAAAATCTCGCTTATCAGTCAACTGCCGAACGAAAAGGAATCACTGAAGCGATTGTTGGACTTCAATCAAACTTTTTATTAACAACAAGAAATACAGAGGGAGAACAATGTTACCATGAGCGTGACTGTGTAATGGTGGAAATCAAAACTCAGCAAGGCCTTGATCATGACTATGCCACAGAAGTGGGAGTCCAACACAACAAAGATGGTTGCTACAAAATCAGATATTTCCTCAAAGCCACAGGAAAATGCCAACTATCCGTGAAAGCAAATAAAGAACATATTCGTGGCAGTCCATTTACTTTTGAGACGAAACCTAGACAGTTTAGACCCTTGTTATCTTTTGGAAAAGGAGGTTCGTCAGTTGGAATGTTTCGCTGTCCATATGGAGTGGCAGTGAATGAACGAGATGAACTTGCAGTGACTGACACTAATAACCACAGGGTTCAGGTATTCAGTAGTGATGGAACTTACCTAAGATCTTTTGGTAAGGAGGGTGATGAACAGGGCCGAGAGTTTCATTGCCCTACTGACATAGCACATGATAAGAAGAAGAACATAATTATGGTGGACACCGACAACCACCGCGTTCAATTTTTCAATGATCAAGGTGAGTACCTGAACCAGTTTGGTGGTGAAGGTAATCTTGATCATCAGTTGAGTAGTCCTTTTTGTTTATCTGTTGACGGGAATGGAAATATCATTGTTGCCGATAAGGGCAACAAATGTATAAAAACCTTTTCATCCAATGGTCAGTTTTTGTATAAACTTGGTGAAGGTGAAGCTTTTACTGCTCCTTTTCACTGTATTCAATATAACAAACGTCTCATAATGTCAGACCATGACGAACATTGATTGTATCAAAGTATTTGATATAAATGGTGATTTTTTTGTACAAATTTGGAAATAAGGGTGACGGGGATGGGCAGTTCAACTTTCCTCATATTTTGTCAGTTAGCAAGGCAGGACACCTGATGGTCTGTGACAAATACAATAACAGAGTTCAGGTATTTGAGCTGAGTGGTAAATTTGTAACAAAGTTCGGAAAAAAAGGCAGAGGGCCTGGAGAGTTTATGTGGCCAAGAGCTATAGCAGTTCATAGTTATGGTAGGATAGTTGTCGTTGATTGGTTGATCCATCGATCGCGTTCAAATATACGGGTAAATGTTGATAAATACCACTTCAGTTACAATTAGACGTTAGATTTATTCTAAAAATAATTGTCAGTTAATTTTTCTGAATTGAAATTATTTTTCAGACAAGCTTCCCGTTGTAGTCTTAGTTAAGAGGCAATGTCTGAGAAAAGGGGACAAAATCTGAAAAAGCTGAAAGATCGGGGTCAGCTAAATTAATCCATACTAACATCATAGATAGGTTAGGTGGACTTACGTATAAATATATTAAAGTTTGCTCGGCAAGTGTTCTGGTATAGGAGATACGAGATCCACTCCCCATCAACCCCTCAGATGTTAGTTTTTCGGGTGAATTTGACGGCCAGCAAAAACTTTCAAATTTGGCGGACGAAGTTCGTGATTTGAACCTGATATAAATGGACATAGAACTTTGTATTAAAAGCCAGAAATGTCTGAAATAAGCACAAGTCAGTCTACACCACTTAGTTTTGAAATACCACTATTTCGTATCTGCTAATGAGCAAGAAATTAACCATTTTCGACTTCCCGTAGAACACACAACTAAGACTTCATCAAAAATCGGATGTCAAAACCAAACACTCTTACCTTCCCTCTATCACAAATAGCAATAGTCTTTTTGGGCCATTCAAACAGCAAGATGCTACATCACCTCCATTTCTCCTACCACTCGATGTCATATAATTAAAGCACGTCACGACGCGAGCAAAGTGCTGTTTAAGCCGCTCTTGGATTCTGCATTGGATTTCTCCACAGATATATATATATAGTTGACTAAAGTAGTCCCAAGAAGTTCAGAACTCCTCTTTGGCCAATTTAACTGTACAAAAATTTAAAAAGAAATACGAACTACATTTAAACAAAACGACGCCAGCTGGAGTTGGTTTACTCGCGAGAAACTGGGACCTACTTATGTTTTCCTCAGGTAGGGAGAGTCCTATGGCCGTCGCACTGTTGCCAGAAACGTCTGTTTGTCACGATAAACAGCTCAAAATCTGAACAAATAATGATATAAGCGAATCACGCTTAAAATAGAGCAAACAGGAGTGCGCAATAGCGTGAACAAATATGTATTCATCTGATGTTTTTTTTTTTCGAGCGCGCGGCTTCTTATGCACATTTCTACCGTCAAGAAATCCGAGGTCTCGCCTCGATAACTCTTACACTTCTTTCAACTGAGCTATCCAACTCCCGCATTCTTCATAAGTCGATGCAGCACGCTTAAGCATGAATAACTGAAATTGTTGATTTAATAACAAAAACAG